CCGCTGCTGGCGCGGCAGGGCCAGGACGTCGCGCCCCCCCCAAACCCAGGTGATCACATCTTCAACAAACCCAAGAAACCCATTGGCACTGCAGGTAATGTCTGGGTCCCCCCGGCGAGCCCTGCCCCCTGCCCTCCCGCCCAGCCTCCTGCACCTCACGTGGCTCCAGCCACGGCTGAGTGTTCCCCCCCTCTGTGCCCCCCAGCCCCTGCCTGCGTCCTGCTCTGCTGCCTGCCTGCCTGCGACCGGGGAGGGTGCAGCGGGTCTGCAGGGACACCTGGGGCAGAGGGGATGGCATGCCCTATGGCGTGCTCCATGGAGGGACCTGGGCAGGGGTCCACTGGCTCCGTCTTTCCACTCATAATGGGCCTGGGGGTGGTTTATGTTCCCTGTGCTATGGTGCCCAAGTGCCACTGTGCACCATGGGTCCCATGGGCTTCCTCTGCCAGCCCCACAGGAGCATCTCAAGGGTTGGCTCACCCATCCATCCCATGGCAAACCCCAGCCAAGCCACAAGCACCCCAATGGGGTGAGATCTGCCAGGGGAAACTGAGGCAGGGAGGAGGCTGAACACAGGACAGCCTGGAGTTGCAGCACAGCCCCAAGCACTCTGCCTGCTCTTGCTGCCTGCTGCTGCTTCCTGGCCCCCAGCCACCCCACTGGCAGCCCCCCCAGGCTGGCACTAACCTGTTGGTCCCTATGTGCTGTCAAGTCCCCCAGAGGACCTCTCCCACCGGTCCCAAGAACTCCCCGAACCCAGCCCGCCTCAGCAACGTTCCCAGCAACATCCTCCGGAAAAACTCCCCTGCAGCGCGCAATGGGGGCAGCGAAGCCGACGCGCAGATACTGGAGCTCAACCAGCAGGTAGGCAGGGTCCCTGCCTGCACCCCTGCCTGTGCATGGGGGCATCCCAGTGTGGGAGAGAGGGAATGGTGCTGAGCCCCCATGTCAGCAGTGCGGAAGATTCCATCTCTCTCCCTCCTCACAGCTGATGGACCTGAAGCTGACAGTGGACGGGCTGGAGAAGGAGCGGGATTTCTACTTCAGCAAACTGCGGGACATTGAGCTAATTTGCCAGGAGCATGAGAACGAGAACAGCCCCATCATCACTGGCATCGTCAGCGTCCTCTACGCCACAGAGGTGAGGGCCAGGACCCCCAGCCCCTCACCCTGCCCCTGGGCTTCCTCAGGATGAGACCACCTTCCTTGTAGTGATCTCAGCCTCTCCCCTTGTTCACTCTCTGGGGTTCGGGGGGGGGGGGGTGTTGGGCTTTGCCAAAGTTATCCCCATGCTTATGGTCACCTGTGCCCCACCAGGAGGGCTTTGCCCCGCCAGAGGATGACGAGCTGGAGGAGCAGCAGCCAGAGGAGCAGGATGAGTACTAAACCTGGCACGCTCCTGCGCTGCCCCGCGCCGTTCCCCCACCATAGACATTTGAGGTCTGAGCCTGTGCGCCTCGCCCTGCACTGTCACATGCCACCATCACAGTCTCCGGCAGCTGAGTCCGCAACCTTGGCATCCAGCAGCTCCGGTGGGAAGCCACTGTCTCCATAAATAAATAGATGTCCACCCAGCACGGAGCACGGCTGTACCTACGCCGGGGGCTGAGGTGGGGACAGGCTCTGGCTGATCCTCGCTACCCCCTGCCCCATATTTATTTCCGTTGTCTCCTCCAGTGCGGGTGCTGCAGCCACCCCGTTGTCCCCACCTGCCCCCTGCGTGAAGCCAGAAGGAAGGAGCGAGTCCTCGGGGTGTTTTCTCCCCAGAGAGGAGCGTGTGCTGCCTGCGCTCTGCCAGCCTGGGGATGATGGGGTCAGAGACAGCGCCCCTGGGACCACTGCACGGGGTGGGGCTGATGCAGGGAGGAGGACAGAGCTCGGAGGAGGGAGGTGTTGCTTCAGGTTCCTGGCACGATGGAAAAGAAACCCCTGACATGGCTACCTGCCTGCTGGTGGCAGTGAGGGGGGGGATCCTGGCCCCCACATCAGGACAGGGGGTCGTGAGTGGAAGCCGGTTTCCTCTGTGGCATGGGGGTCCCCTCGCTCCCTGAGACCTCCCCGGGTCAGGCTGTGAGTGGCAGCAGTGCCTGCCCTGGCCGTCGTCATCTCCCCATTGCATCGCTTGTCTGGTCCATCACTCCGGTTGCAAAAGCCTGCATCTGTGTTAAGTTTTATTTAAAATAAAGTTGTGTGGTAAAACCTTTGTCCTCCCTGAATTGGGCACTGCGGGAAGGCTCGGGGCTGGGAGGAGCGCGGGTGGCTCTAGCTCCGGGGAGAGGGAGCCGGGCAGTACCTGATCGCGGGTTTTAGTCCCGCTGCCGAGACAGTAAGTGAGAGAGACAGCCCGGCTCCTGCAGGCACGGCTGCGGCACAACGTTGCTTACACGGCATTTTCCGTCATGGAGGACGGGGAACGCTATATGGAAGCTAGTTTATCCACTGCGCTTTTTCACCCTAAAACCACAGCGTCTGCTTTTAAACCAGATAAAGCCAGGGGAGAGCGCGAACGCAGTCCCCCACTACCACAAATTATGCAGTCGAGTTTCCCGCATTTGGGGAAATCGCAGGGGTCAGCACACCCGGAGTGCAAGGGATGAGCCTCGCCCAAGGAAAACCACCTGCTTGATCATGGTGTCTCCCCTGCCAGGTAAGTATGACTGCCCTTCGCGCACCCACCGCCACCCGCCGCACAACACACACACACCTCACGGACACCGCACGCGGCGCTACCGGAACGCGCTCTGCTCCACTCCGCACCCCACCGCTGCCATCGCGCCCTCGCTCAGAGCCCTCGCACGCCCGAGCCCAGGGGATGATTTTGTGCCGCGGGTGTCCCGTGATGCCTCGCGGTGCTCGTTTGCATGGACACGCCCCCTGCCCGCAGGCCCCGCCCGGAACGCGCGTAGCAGGTCCGCCGCCGGCATGGCCCGGCCCCGCGGCAGCGCCACCTAGCGGAGTTGCGGAGCTCAGCCCCGGCAGCCCGCGGAGGCACCGCCCACCCGCGCCCGCCGCGTTGCGAGTGTCGTGACAGGGCTCGGGGGTCGGCAGCGCAGAGTCCGGCGGCACTGGGCATGGCGGGCACGGCAGAGCTCGGGCCCAGCAAAGGGCGCAGCCGGGCCGGTGACTGGGGGCTGTGCAGCTGCCCCGAGCCCGGATCGAAGCCAAGCTGGGAGAAGCCCCGCGGGAGGGTCGGCTCCTCGCTGTGTGCGTGGGGACAGACGGACACCGGGCGCCCCGCTGCCGGGGGCGGCGGGATCGTGCACGGCCAGGGACGAAATGGGCGAAGCCGCAGTGGCAGCGCTCGGCCAGGAGCCTGGGCGGCGGCTCGTGGCGGCGCGGATCGGACACTGCGGGACGGCACCGGGCAGCCCGAGGTTCCCGACGGGGCAACGGCGTCGTGGAGAGGCGGGGGGGGGGGCGGGTCCTTCCTTGGCTTCCCCTTTTCCCTCCTTTTCCCTCCGTTCTCCCGAGCTGTGAATGGTTCGGGCCACGGAGGGGAGGCAGGGGCTCTGCAGAGCGGAGCCTGGCGCTGGGGGCCGTGTCCGTGCCCGCAACCACCGCGGGAGGCATCACGGGACACCCGCGGCGCACGCGGGCGTGGTGCGGGATGGAGCTCGTCCCGGTAGCGCCGCGTGCGGTGTCCGTGAGGTGTGTGTGTGTTGTGCGGCGGGTGGCGGTGGGTGCGCGAAGGGCAGTCATACTTACCTGGCAGGGGAGACACCATGATCAAGCAGGTGGTTTTCCCAGGGCGAGGCTCATCCCTTGCACTCCGGGTGTGCTGACCCCTGCGATTTCCCCAAATGCGGGAAACTCGACTGCATAATTTGTGGTAGTGGGGGACTGCGTTCGCGCTCTCCCCTGATGTAACTGGGGCAAAGACAGAGCTGGGGGGGTGTATGTGTACTCAGGGATATGTATTCCCCCACACGACTTCTTCTTCTCTAACTTGGGTAGGTATAAATCTGGTTGGTGGGCCACCCGGTGGATGCAGTGGTCATAGTTGAGGTCAAAGGCTCACTGTCCAAATGGAGCCCAGTGACCAGTGGTGTCCTTAAGGGTCAAGGTGGGGACTGATTCCTGTCTGCGACATGGACAGTGGGTTTGAGTGCACCCTCTTCAAGTTTGCTGGTGACACCAAGCTGTGTGGTTCGGTTGATATGCTGGAGGGAAGGAATGCCATCCAGAGGGACCTTGACACACTTGTGAGGTGGGCTGATGACAACCTCATGAAGTTTAACCATGACAAGTGCAAGGTCCTACACCTGGGTCAGAGCAATCCCAGGCACAGCTACAGGTTGGGCAGAGAAGAGATTCAGAGCAGCCCTGTGGAGAAGGACTTGGGGGTGTTGGCTGATGAGAAAATGAACATGAGCCGGCTTCAGTGTGCACTCACAGCCCAGAAAGCCAACCGTATCCTGGGCTGCATCAAAAGGAGCGTGACCAGCAGGTCGAAGGAGGTGATCCTGCCCTTCTACTCTGCTTTCGTGAGACCTCACCTGGAGTATTGTGTGCAGTTCTGGTGTCCTCAACATAAAAAGGACATGGAACTGTTGGAACAAGTCCAGAGGAGGCCACAAGGATGATCAGGGGACTGGAGCACCTCCCGTATGAAGACAGGCTGAGAAAGTTGGGGCTGTTCAGCCTGGAGAAGAGAAGGATGCGTGGAGACCTCATAGCAGCCTTCCAGTATCTGAAGGGGGCCTACTAGGATGCTGGAGAGGGACTCTTCATTAGGGACTGTAGTGACAGGACAAGAGGTAATGGGTTAAAACTTAAACAGGGGAAGTTTAAACTGGATATAAGGAAGAAGTTCTTTACTGTAAGGGTGGTGAGGCACTGGAATGGGTTGCCCAGGGAGGTTGTGAATGCTCCATCCCTGATGGTGTTCAAGGCCAGGTTGGAGAGAGCCTTAGGTGATATGGTTTAGTGTGAGGTGTTCCTGCCCATGGCAGGGGAGTTGGAACTAGATGTTCTTAAAGTCCTTTTCAGCCCTAAGTATTCTATGATTCTATGATAGCATGTACTAATCTGTTCAATAATATTCTTGCAAGGACTTTTACAGCAATGGAGAGCAGAGTTATACCTCGGTAGCTTGAGCAGTCTGACTTTACACCTTTTTTCTTATACAGAGTAATGATGATTGCATCACAAAAATCTGATGGTAGTTTACCTTGTTCCCAACAGCACACAACTAGCACGTGAAATTTAGCATGAAGTGCTTGGCCTCTCTGCTTCCAGATTTTGGGTGGGATTCCATCGACCCCAGCTGCCTTGCCAGTTTTCACCTGCTGTATAGCCTTAAGAGTCTCTCCCATGGTAAGGGCTATATCCAATTCATTTTTCACCAGATATTGTAAGATGGGCTGGATTCCTGTGCCTTGGACTACAGGGTTAGCACTAAAGAGTGTTTGAAAATGTTCAGACAAACAATTCAGGATGGAGATTTTATGTGTAAGAAGCTTTTGGCCATCTGCACTAAGTAAGGGGCTTTGAACCTGGTATGTGAGTCCATACACTGCTTTCAGAGCCTCATAGAATCCTCTGTGGTCACCCAAATCTGTGCATAGTTGAGTCTTTTCTGCTAGGTTGAGCCACCACTTGTTCTGGATGTCTCGAGGTTTCTGTTGGAGTTTACTGCATGCAAGACAAAAGGCTGCTTTTCTTACATGGCAAAATGGCTGAGCAAGGTGGGCTTGATGGGCAGATCTCTTCTTTGTCAGCAATTCGTGGACCTCCTGGTTGTTATCGTCAAACCAGTCTTTGTTTTTCTTTAAGGAGAACCCAAAGGATTCTTTGGAGGACTGCAGGATGCTATTTTTAATATGTTGCCAAAGCACTTCAGGAGAAGAATCTATAAGCTGGTCTTCAAGCCTAGTTTGAAGGTTAGCCTGAAAGCTGTCCCTCACTGTGGCTATTTGAAGATTGTTAACATTGAGCCTCCTCCTTGGAATGCCACCCCTCTTAGGTTTGGGCTTAAGGTGGAGGTTAAGTTTGCAACGCACAAGGCAGTGGTCTGTTTGACATTCTGCACTAGGCATCACTCGGGTGTGACAGGCATCACAAACATTTCTCTGGTGCACTAAGAGATAATCAATAAGGTGCCAATATTTAGATTGCGGGTGCATCCAGGTTGTCTTCACACTGTCTTTCTGCTGGAAAATAGTGTTGGTGACGGTAAGCTGCTGCTCTGCACAAAACTCTAGCAAGAGGCATCCATTATCATTGCAGCTACCAACACCGTGCTTGCCTAGTACTCCTTTCCAGGCTTCAAAGTTCTTACCTACTCAGGCACTGAAGTCACCAAGGATTATGATCTTATTATCATCTATAGGAACCTTTTGAGTGAGGCTACGCAGGTCAGTGTAGAATTTGTCTTTACCTGCAGGGTCAGCTTGCAGAGTTGGAGCATATATGCTGAAAAGAACAGCATGTTGCTTATTGTGTAGTGGAAGGCGTAAGGAGATAATACGATCGGATCGGATCTGGTACAACATTACATCTTTGTCTTCATAACTTCTTTGTTTCAATGTCTACAGTTCTCGGAGATTATCTCGGTGTTCTAACTTCAACTCCTCTTGACTCCCATGATTTGCAGCTGATGAGGGTCGGGATGTTCGTGCTCTCGTTCAGGTCTGTTGGCGCAGCTTCTTGTGCAGCATTCCCCACGCCAGGGAGGGACTGTAGCGATAGTACAAAGGGTAATGGGTTAGGTGTAAGGAAGTTCTTTACTGTGCAGGTGGCGAGGCACTGGCACAGGTTGCTCAAAGAAGTGGCGAATGCTCCATCCCTGGCAGTATTTTAAGGCCAGGTTGGACAGAGCCTTGGGCAACATTGTGTGTGTGTGAGATGTCCCTCCTCATCCATGGCAGGGAGGTTGGAACTAAACGATCCTAAGGTCCTTTCCAACCCAAACCTACAATTCTGTGATCCTATATTTGCAGCCATGTTTGCTGCTACGTTTCATGTGTTGAAACTGGCCCAAGTCCTGAGTTGCATCTCTGCCCGGGGTGGGGGGGAATTGGGTATGGGACGCTTCCACAGACCTCCGGACCTGCCACATGAGAAACCAGACAGTCTGTTCCCTGCGGGTAGTTCCTACCTTTGTCCCATACTGCTCTGTTCCCACCCAGCCCCCTGTGGTCCTGCATCCTCCCAGGATTTCCGTGCTTCAAGGCACTTTGAGGAAAGTCCTTCTGTGTGAGCAGTTTGACCCCTCCAGAACCAAGCTGGGTTCACTGCCAAATCGCAGGAGAGGTAGGAGTTGATGGGCTGGTCACTGCATAAGTTCCTTTCTGAAGGGGACAGTTCCCCCTGACATGAGATGGGGCCAAGGGTAGCAGGATCCTCCCAGCTCATGTGGCCTCAACGGGACAATGGCCTCCTGGGTGGCAGTGCTGCAGGGTCTGCATCAAAGCACGACTGAGGAGGCAGTGGCCAAGCTTGGCCCCAGCCAGATGGGACAGGAGTAGCTTCAGAGCTTCAGTCACCTTGTGTGTCCCCTATACCAATATAAGGACATGCGCCTGTTGGAGCAAGTCCAGAGGAGACCACAAGATTCTCTGAGGGTTGGAATACTTCTGCTATGGAGACTGAGAGAACAAGCCCAGCTGTAGAGAGCTGGGCTTGTTCAGCATGGAGAAGGCTCCTTAAGGGGAGACCTTAGAGCAGCTTCCAGTGCCTAAAGGGGCTACAAGAAACCTGGAGGGGGCTTTGGATAAGGGCCTGTAGAGATAGGACAAGGGAGAATGACATTAAATTGACTGAGGAGAGATTTTGATGAAATCTTTGGAAGAAGTTCTTCCCTGTTGAGGGAGGTGCCTGGCACAGGCTGCCCAGAGAAGCTGTGGCTGCCCCATCTGTGGCTGCCCCATCTATGGCTGCCACATTTGTGGCAATGTTCAAGCCCAGGTTGGACAAAGCCCCGTCCTGGAGCAACCTGGTCTAGTGGAAGGTGTCCCTGCCCATGGCAGGGGAGTTGGAACTGGATGAGCTTTAAGGTTGCTTCCACCCCAAACCGTTCTGTGATTCTATGATGCCCAGAAGGTTTCATCTGGACTCCCCACTGGAATTGGCCACCATATCCCCCAAGGGAGGAACTTGAGACGTCATTAGCTGCTTTCAACAGCTTTTCTATTGTCTCCTCTCCATTTGCTGGGTCTGCACGCACCGCTCCACATCCATACGGACTCTTTGTGTTCACCACGGCAGAGCTGGAGACGCTTTTCCTCAGGAGAACCTGGGCTGATCTCGACTCTGATCAACAGCTCTGAGGGAGAGGTAAGAGAAGCGAATCTGGCTCCAGGCCATCACAGCTGAGCTGTGGGGACGCTCCACTGACTGTGGGCAGCGAAGGGCTCGGGCTACCCCTCACATTCCCCACAGTGCGCTTAGATCCCGCCAGGGCAGGGCTGGCCCCCTCCCCGGTTCCAGGCACTAACAGGACCTGCAGGAGGGTACCGCGGAGGAGCCGAGCAGCAGCGTGGAAACAAAGCAGCAGCCCCAGAGAATGAAGTAACGCGACAACATAGAGGCATCATCGCGTTGCGTTACTACAGACAACTCTTTCCTTTAAACTTGTAAGCCAGGGGAGAGCGCGAACGCAGTCCCCCACTACCACAAATTATGCAGTCGAGTTTCCCGCATTTGGGGAAATCGCAGGGGTCAGCACACCCGGAGTGCAAGGGATGAGCCTCGCCCTGGGAAAACCACCTGCTTGATCATGGTGTCTCCCCTGCCAGGTAAGTATGACTGCCCTTCGCGCACCCACCGCCACCCGCCGCACAACACACACACACCTCACGGACACCGCACGCGGCGCTACCGGGACGAGCCCCATCCCGCACCCCGTTCGCACCGCGACCGCACCGCGCACCTGCCCAGAACCCTCGCACGCCCGAGCCCACGGGGGCTGTTTGGCGTCGCGGCTGTCCCGTGATGCCTCGCGGTGCTCGTTTGCATGGACACGCCCCCACACGAGGGCCCCGCCCCTCACCGATGGGCACCGGGACACCCCACCGGAGCCTGTTGTCGGCCCGGTAAATGCCGCGGCACGGCGCCGTGTCCCGAGGTCTCCGCCCGCGGAGCCGAGCAGCACAGCGACCCGTGCTGGTGGAGGGGTGGAGCTGGTGAAAGGTGTTTAAAAGGGAAAGCCTCCATCAGGGACAGGTTCATCAAGGGCAAGTCCTGTTGAAGTACCCTGGTATCTGTCTACAATAAGGTCACCCGACCACCTGCCTGTGGGGTGCAGGGGAGGCGGTAGATGTATTTTTCTGGATTTTTGTAAGGATTTTGATACTGTCCTTCACAGCATCGTTCTGGATCAGGTGTCCAGGTGGGATGAGCAGGTTCATAGTGTGCTGGGTGAAGAACCAGAGATCACAAATGGGAGTTGCTGTTGACTCTCTCAAGGGCCAAGAAGCCTTGCAGAGAGATATAGATAGATGGGAGCACTGGGCAACCATCAACAGCATGAAAAGGAAAAAGAACAAATGCCATTTAGGATGGAGTAACACCAGGCACAAATCTAACCTGGGAGAGGAGTGGCTGGAGGGCAGCCCTGCAGGAAGGGACCTGCATGCTGCTGTCAGCAGGGTCAGTAGAAGCCAGCGCTGGGCCCTGGTACCCAGAGGACAAACAGCACCCTGAGGTGCATCAATCGCAGCAGAACCAGCCTGTCAGAGAGGAGGTGTCCGGCTGCATTCAGCATTGGTGGAGCCTCACCTAAGCACTATGTGGCACTGGGTCCCACCGTTGGAGGACATGAAGATCTTCAGATTTGCCCAGAAGAGGACAAGCAAGCCGCGAAGGGCTGGCAGCATTGTCCTCTGAGGAGTGGCTGAGCACTCGGGGTTGGTCTTGTTTGGAGAGAGGGAGGCTGACAGGTGACCTTGTTGCTCTCTGCAGCTCCCTAAGGAGAGGACGGGGAGGGAGGAGCTGAGCTTTTCTCCCTGGGATGCAGCAACAGGATGCCTGGAAATGGTTCAAAGGTTAGTTAAGCAGGACTTGCCCTTGGTGAACCTGTGCTGACTGCCCCTGATAGTGGCATTATCCTTTAAACGCCTTTCACCAGCTCCACCCCTCCACCAGCACGGGTCGCTGTGCTGCTCGGCTCCGCGGGCGGAGACCTCGGGACACGGCACCGTGCCGCGGCATTTACCGGCCCGACAACAGGCTCCGGTGGGGTGTCCCGGTGCTCATCGGTGACAGACGGGACCCTCGTGTGGGGGCGTGTCCATGCAAACGAGCACCGCGAGGCATCACGGGACAGCCGCGACGCCAAACAGCCCCCGTGGGCTCGGGCGTGCGAGGGTTCTGGGCAGGTGCGCGGTGCGGCCGCGGCGGGAACGGGGTGCGGGATGAGGCTCGTCCCGGTAGCGCCGCGTGCGGTGTCCGTGAGGTGTGTGTGTGTTGTGCGGCGGGTGGCGGTGGGTGCGCGAAGGGCAGTCATACTTACCTGGCAGGGGAGACACCATGATCAAGCAGGTGGTTTTCCCAGGGCGAGGCTCATCCCTTGCACTCCGGGTGTGCTGACCCCTGCGATTTCCCCAAATGCGGGAAACTCGACTGCATAATTTGTGGTAGTGGGGGACTGCGTTCGCGCTCTCCCCTGGCTTAAGCAGTTCAAAGAATAGATTCGTTCACAGAGTAGGCGCTTCTTAATAGCTTTGAAGTCACTGTTCGTTACAGTACTCTGCTTCTAAAGCTGCTCTTACTATGTCTCCGTTTGCACAGTCCCCCGAACGTTCGCGTATGGGACGCGGCTGCGGAGCATTGTACCTGCCGCGTGAGGAACCGGACGCTATATTCCTCGCGGGGTGTTTCCTGCCTTTGTCCCGTCTCGCTCTGTTCCCACCAAGGCTCCCTGTGGTTTCATGTTCCCTCAGTTCAGGCGTGGTTTCCACACTGCACATGCCGCCCCAAGCTCCCCACAGCCCACGCTGTGCTTGATTTCCAATCCCTGTCCCAGGTGCAATCACACAGACACACGGAGAGGCTGCCCAGGGTTTTATTCATCTCCCGCTGCTGCTCAGTAACCGTGATCCCACGGCACAGGTTCCTCTGAGGTACAGAGCACCCTCCTCACTTAGGAGGTCTTCTCAGGGGGCCTTGGCCTTCCGGCGCTGGGTGCCCCACAGCAGGAGGGCCAGAGACAGGGTGGTGGCTCCCAGTACTCCACAGAAGAGCAGCACTGGGAATGTGCCCTGTAAGCAAACAGCAGTTAGTGGCCCCCTATGCAGCCCCACTGCCCCATGGTGCTCTGGGGGGGGAGGACCTGGGGGGGTATTCGTCCTGCAGACACTCACCTCACGCAGGCACTTGTACCCGTGGAAAGGGCTGTTGCAGAGGCACTGGACGAGGCCAGGACCATCTGGGGCACAGGCAGAGTTCTCAGGGCACGGCCAGGCTGGTGGAGCAGAGCAGAGGGTCACAAGCCAGGCCCTGCTCCCCCAACCTCCCACCTGCCATCCCCCGCTTTACCGGGCTCCCTGGAGCTGTTGCAGGAGTTCCTCTGGCCCTGGCAGAGCCGGCTGCTCCCGCTCGTTGTCACCTCCTCCCAGGTGCTGTTCCCACCTGGGCACCCCAGCGGCAGTGGCAGCGCTCTGAGGGGCAGAGCTCAGCACCAGCACTGGCACCACCACAGGCCCCCTCAGCCCACCCCTGTACTCACAGCAGC